TTAGTTCCTGGTTTCTCGTCGTCGTCTCCCGCTTTATCCAGAACCGGGTCGCGGGGGCAGCAGACTAAGCAAAGACTCCCAGACTTCCCTCTCTGCAGACACCTACTCCAGCTCTGTTGAGGGAAGCCCTAGGCGCTCCCAGGCCAGCCGAGAGACATAGTCTCTCCAGCGTGTCCTGGGTCGTCCCCTGGGCCTCCTCCCGGTGGGACGTGCCTGGAACACCTCCCGAGGGAGGCGTCCAGGGGGCATCTGAAAAAAATGTCCGAGCCACCTCAACTGACTCCTCTCTATGTGGAGGAGAACCGGCTCTACACTGAGCCTCTCCCGAATGACTGAGCTCCTCACCCTATCTCTAAGGGAGAGCCCGGCCACCCTGAAAGGAAGAAAGCTCATTTCAGCCGCTTGTATCCGGGATCTCGTTCTTTCGGTCATGATCCACATTTCATGACTATAGGTGAGGGTAGGAACTTAGACCGACCGGTAAATTGAGAGCTTTGCCTTTTCGCTCAGCTCTCTCTTCACCATGACAGACTGGTGCAGCGTCCGCATTATTGCAGCAGCCGCACCGATCCGTCTATCGATCTCCCGCTCTATTCTTCCCTCACTCGTGAACAAGACCCCAAGATACTTGAACTCCTCCACTTGAGGCATGGACTCTCCTCCAACCTGAAGGGGACAAGCCACCTTTTTCCGGTCGAGAGCCATGACCTCGGACTTGGAGGAGCTGATTCTCATCCCGGCTGCTTCACACTCGGCTGCGAACTGCCCCAGAGCATGCTGTAGGTCTTGGCAGGAGCGAGCCAGCAGAACTACGTCATCCGCAAAAATCAGGGACGAGATCCGCTGGTCCCCAAACCAGACCCCCTCCGGTCCTTGGCTGCGCCTAGAAATCCTGTCCATAAAAGTGATGAACAGGACCGGTGACAGAGGGCAGCCCTGTCGGAGTCCAACATGCACTGGGAACAGGTCCGACTTAATGCTGGCACTGCGAACCAGACTCCTGCTCCGCTTGTACAGAGAATGGATGGCCCCTGATAAAGGGCCCCTGACTCCGTACTCCTGGAGCACCCCCCACAGGGTGGCACGAGGGACACGGTCGAATGCCTTCTCCAAGTCCACAAAACACATGTGGACTGGTTGGGCGAACTCCCATGAACCCTCAAGCACCCTGCAGAGGTTGTAGAGCTGATCCACTGTTCCACGGCCAGGACGAAAACCACACTGCTCCTCCTGCAGCCGGACTCTCCTCCCCGGAAAGGCCGGGGAGGCTGAGAAGTGTGATTCCCCGATAGTTGGAACACACCCTCCGGTCCCCCTTCTTGTGGAAGGGAACCACCACCCCAGTCTGCCAAT